TCCTGGCAGGATACTCTGGTGGTAACAAACCGTTTGACGATATATAAGCTGCTGCTTTGAAACACCATTTCGATCTCCAATCTCAGCAAATGACAGTCCACGAAAATACAAATCGACAACTCTTGTTCTCATTTCAACTGGTTATTGACTCTTTGCTTCTCCATTGTGGTGCTTAAACAACTTGGACATATGCTGATTTCTAGACACGCAATCGACACGATGACCGACCAAAAGTGAATGAAAGACAGACGCGCCGCAAAGTCTAGGTGTACCTGACTTTGTAGCAAAAATAGAAAACATTGTGGGCAATATCTGTCAATTATTCCTCTGATTTGCAGCAGATGTTTATATTTCTAGTTACAACTTATGTAAATGTGAAAACAAAGTGTGTAACCTATTGTAGTAAGTTATCAACATCTAGCACTACTTCAGCGTCAAATCAGTGCCTGGAATTACTGTAAGTTCTCAAAAGTGTCATACATCTTATAGTTTAACACTAATTTAGAACAAACCATATTAGTAACAGAGAAAGAAACAAAACAACACTCCTAGACAATTACCTATACTAACAGCTCTGTCTGTCAGCTCTGATGGCAACAAAGCTAAAAACAGGGATAACAGTAACTAATGAACTAGAAACACCTCGAACATTGTCACTATGATTTGAATTATAGTTACCATGACAACTTACCGGTTACAGTGTCCAAGAAGTGTTCTAATTCTTGTTGGTAGGCTTGTGCATATCTTTCTTTGAATGACGGCAGAATAGGATGCAAGGATTCCCCGCCGGTTCCATGACTAGACATATCACAAAACTTGGAATTATGATTCTGTACCATTCCTTTGTTGCCGAACACCTAATAATAAATTAGAATTGATTTAACTAATATATTTTTAGTCGTAAAAAACAGATGCAATGTAACGAGAAGTATGGAGAATAATGCCCATATGAAAGACCCAGTTGTGTTACTATGTGTTGTTTTAGTACTTTCATCTTGAGGATGCTACTCAGCAAAAAATTTAGTACACAACATTGAAGGACAAAAAAAAACATAATTCATTACAAATTTAAGGATCTTGTAACACCCCCCCCCGCCTCCTGATAAAAAAAACATTTTATGTGGGATTTAAGACTTTTCAAACAGCCAATGTATTTTCAGGTCCACAGAATGATGCAGCTCATCCGACTTCTTTTTGCGTGTGTGTGTGTGTGTGTGGGGGGGGGGGTTAAGTTAATGAAGTCTTCAACAGATTCTAACACCACTACAGTTAGTAGTGAAAATAATTGTTTTTTCATTAACACGAATTAATAGAATTATTTTCGATTAAATTATTATTGATTTTTTGGGATGAAAATAGATACCTCAAGCCTTTGATCATATCCATACGCAGCGAATCTGCTCAAATCAATGGTGCCTATGGCTCCACTTGCAAACTTCATTGTAATGGCGACTGTGTCAATATCGTCCATATCTGCAATATCGGGATTGAATGCGTGGCCTTGAGTATAAACGGTAGTTGGTGTATCTCCCATTATCCAACATATAACATCTATGTCATGCACAGCGCAATCATGGAATATACCACCTGTAATATAATAATGATGTATTTTCAAAATAAACATGCAGTCCATGTTACTACAAAAATAATGAACGACAACGCCACAATGGAGGAGTTGATTCTACGCGAGATAGTATGCGCTGCACATGCAAACATACTATTGATTAACTCTAAATCAAATATGGCATTCTGGGTAGTTCAATATTACGATATTTCACCAGTTGGGCACTGGGTCCACATCAGACGTTTGAAATGGCCAAAAGATTGGTCCCCCCCAAAAAATTCTGACCCCGAATTTTGCAAATTTTTTTTTTCAGCAATTAGTTGAAAGATTTTTTCCCTGCAAAAATAATACATATAACTTATGTGTACCAATATTAATACTATCAACTTATATCAATAATAAAAAAGACATGCATGACACACTTTCTGTTAGTTATCAAACTTATGATATATAATTTTGTTTATAGCAATATAGCTCAAACATAAACATGTCAAAGATATTGATTCAGAAGCCGATGCTTGATTGATACTGAAATGATTGAAATTCAGTCGCCTTGTATATGATCGTCAAAGGAGTACTTGTCCATATTGAGAGATATTGCTGTGGAACAGCATTAATTAAAACAAAATAGCCACTAGTCGTCCATCTGTATATCTATAACATGATGTAGAATGAATATAAATTTTTTTTTAAGTCAAATCATTTCAGAGATACGACACTAGAACTGCATTCATTAAAACAAAATGGCTGCCAGTCACCCATTTTTCATCCGATCTGAAAAACAAAATGACATGCATTAATGTCTCCTAATGTCCAACGTATGCACCAAGTTTCAACAAAATTCATCCATAAATGCTTTATTTTGATGACTTTTCAGCACAAAAACAGCCGCCATTCAGCCATCTTGAATCAGATCGTGAAATATGTATAATATTATGTATGATGTACGTGTTAAGTTTGAATGTAATCAGTCCAGGCATATCTAAGATATAGGTCGGGATGCACAGACGCACAGAGGTCAAACTATAATTTCCCGTTAATAAACTTCTACCAAACATCAATAGATTTTTCTAGAAATTACTCCAGACAGTTAATAATAGTTAGTCTCTACGTACCATTTGAGTACCATACAATTTGTATTGGAAGCCACACCCATTCTTTTTGAACAATTGAAAACCCAAATTTCACCATTTCTCATATGTGCAGATGCTCTAATAGAAGCCAAGTCCATTCTGATGCATTGTACCATTTTAAAAGAAGCCACAGCTTCTAGCTTTTAGATCACTCACTAAGAACACTTACCAGATAGTTTTAAAAATGATAATGGTGGTAATGGAGCATCGCGACTGATTGTCTTGATGTGTTGTATCTGTCCTACTACACCATTTCTGCTTTTTTGCTGGACCTGACGTACTCCTGGATCAAACCGTCTACAGACGAGAAAATTGCAAATTATTATCAAGCATGCTTAAAACTGTAGATAGCAACTTTAATATGTGATTTTCCATTCAACTACGAGATCTTGCGAGTTGTGTGAAAGACGTTTGCCTCAAAAATCAAACGATTTGATTTTGAGCTTGAATTTCTTTATTTCGTAGCTCACATCGAAAGGCCAATCTTTGACAGGGGAATATTGCGTTCAGATACCCTTACTTAATCAAAATTGACCATCATCAAATGTGTACAACACATTATTAAGCATGAAAATATATATTAAAATACGTGTTTATTGAATTTCACACTATGTTTGTCGCCACTATGACACAATGACCTTTTTTGTCCTGTTTTTACATTTGATTTTATGCATAACACGGAATCTCACAGAGAATGGAAATTGGTCTATACATACATATAGCATCAAAAATAATAGAATTTACCTTTCCTTAAAAAAACTATCAGTACTTGTTCAAACATTCAAATTTGTTCTTATTTGGGGTAAAAACTACATTACACGATGGCAATATAATCACGTCATTGAAAATAAATGTTGCACGGCGCAAAATGTTTTTGACGCCATTTTGGGATATAAGCTCTCATCGAATTATTATATACCCTACACGTAGGCCTTTAAACTTGCGCAGACCAGCACAAAAATTAACAGTGCCACTACAGTTAGACATCTCACCTGTTGAATGCACACAGAAGGACTTTATTGTTCTTCTGTGCTTCCTCATAGCAGCTCTGTGTGCTAGCAATCGACTTACCAATCGGCTTCTCACAAAACACATGTTTACCTGAAAAAACGAAAGCAATCATTAGCATTTGAAATGTATGAATATACTAGTAGTTCTTAAAATATGAGAATTAGATGATCATTTTACAAATAAGTGATTATGGCTGATAACAGTGACCGTTAAAAAAACAGTTTGTAGATTAATAATTATTTAATGACGATCACAAAAACTAAACTTTACAATTGTTAATCTGACCCACCAGGAAATTGTCACTGATTTAAAATATTATGATTTTTTGGTGTACACTAAAAGCACTGACAACAAAATCACGTGGTTTACAGGATTTTTTTTTATTGACGGGTACCCGGTATACATAAAAAAAAAATTAAACCTATTAGAGAGCTGTTAATATAATGATATTTTAAGATTATCCCCTGATATATCACTTGTTTATTGAGCTGGTTTACACAATGCAACAGCGGACAAAAATGTTATTACTCTTCTTAGCTCCAAAATAAACATACAGTTGTCATTACAAGTTTTATTCGGGCAGAAATCATACTGGTTCTGTTACATGATTTGTTTTTCTCGGTGTACTGGTTGAACATAGAGCAAACATTATTGGTATTTCGCAAATAATAAACATATTCCACCTCGCAGATTATAAGCGTGAAATGGTGTGTATCTACTGGTATATGAATGCTTTTAATTAATGTTTTTATCAATCAATAAAACTCATGAATCAAATTATTGATTGCCTCAATCACTCAAGAGTTCAATGACCTGACATTTACTATTAAAACCTTAGAAGTTGACCATTAAAAACTATGAAGGTAAATTTAAACAAATCTTGAAGATAAAAAATTTACAGCAAGGTGAAGAAAATAAATAACTACACACATTTGAAATAAAAATGTTACAACATAATTCTGAAATAAAAAGCTGCTGTAAACAAAGTGAAAAAAAAAAGAATTCATGAGTTTTTAATGGTCAACCTCGTAAAACTAAAATTCATTAACGCATATAGTATATCTTAGCATTTTGACGATTTAACAACGAACATATATTGGTGAAGACAAAATGTCATGATTGACACCGACTTATTCATTTTCACAAAATTAATAATTTCATTTATTTGCTGAATTACAAAAGTTTTCATTCAATTAACACTGTTCACAGTAACGATTAATTCCCAAGCAGACGTTAATTATGTTCGGTCCTGATGGGGGAAGACTATTATTTTGGTGTCACCCTCCATATCTTTTACATAAAATTCACTATTTTCTACATGTTTGTATAGGTCATTGAAGTGGTTGTCCTTGCTTTTATCCATCTCTATCACACACACCCCTCCCCAAATACCTGGTGTAAACACTATTTGTGAATTATTTGCAAGGATTTATTTCAGTTTATTCCGCTAACAGTTAAATGCATTAAATTAAAACCCAGTGGATATTAAAATTTTACAATGAAGTGTATTGTCCCCTTTACAAACCAGTGAGAGTAAACCCAGTAAATATGCATGCAATATTTATTTTACTAAAATTAAGGTCTTTTTCTATTAAATATGAGCAAAATGTGATTTCTTTCTTTCAAAACAACTGTTGATTTAGAAATAAACTATTTTCTTAGAGCATAGGCCATTTTGGAACTTTTTCTATAAAAATGTTATTTCATGAAAACAATAACATGACACAGTCCCCGTCATTTTGTAATGTATTTTGGAGTGCATGTATACTTATCTGTGTGTTGTACGTCTTGTGATACATGTACATCAAAGCAATCTCTCCATATGTACATTGTGTATAACCTCAGACTAGTAATACAAATGTATTACTAGTCTGAGGTATAACATTTTAACTGCTCAATGAACACCTGAAACATTGTTTCATACAGACTTGATATTATTGATGCTTGATTAGTTTAGACATGTTACTAATTAAACAAGAAAGCAATCAGGCAGCCATCTTGAATAAGATCATGAGACAAATGCATGTGCATATGTCAATTATCATGTCTGATGTAAGTGTAAAGTTTGAACTCCATTCATCCTGGCATGTCGGAAACATGAATCTGGAATTAGGCAGTCATTAAAACAAAATGGCCACCATTCGGCCATTTTTAACCCGATCTGAAAAAATAAAATGACATGTGTTCAATATATGTAGCAAGTTTAAACTAAATCTGTCCACACAAGATTAAGATCCAGTTCCAGAATAACGAAAATGGCTGCTATTCGGCCATATTGCATGTGCGTATGTCTGATAAAATGTCTGATGTACGTGTTAAAGTTTGAACTTGATCAGTGCATCTAAGTTAGATACAAGTGGATGTGCATGCTATCAATCCATAAGTCCCTGTTTTCAGACTGCATCAAAACAGGAAATAATAATGGTATTTCTCGAAAGCACCCATAAGATTTCTTTACCATATGTATCTGAACAAAAGTTTGAGATATGAAAACACTTTTTTACCTTAAGAACCAATAGTATATAGCTAAAAAAAATAATCCCCATTTTCATGGGTGATTGACACCCTTTTTTGTGTAAATAACCATAATTTATCAGCCATATGGTAAAAGTCTAGAAAATCTGGCAATAAGTTTTAATGGTAGCCATCTACTCGTATTGAATTTTCATCCTTTTACAGTACAGTGCCCTTTCTTCTAGCATTTAGTACCAAATAAAATTCTATGTAGTGTATGACCATTTTTGACATTCTCTAATGGGTTGTGGCACTGACATACGTGTATAGCAGTACTGAAGAGAGGGAGAGAGCAAAATTGCATGTTCAAACCCATGGCCAGGTACCACACTAATTGCTATGATACCATACTACACCTGCTTTTATTGAAGCCCGTATTATTGATTCATGCGTCCAAGTGGGTGTGCAGATAATAACTGCGTCAATACTGAAATTCAAGCAGAATATGTCATTAACGTGTTTCCCCCCCCTCTCTGCCGGTGAATAAGATATTCCACTTTACCAGAGAATCTATAGCAAGAAACACCAATTTTTTTCTGATATTTCATGAACTGCTTCCCACAAAATAAACTAAAATCAAACTTAACCAAGCTTGATAAAGTTTGGCTGAAAATTACACCAAGAATGATTATTAACGCTACCAGACAAAAATCCACCATAAACATGTACCTCATCCTCCAGCAAAATTAAAAGGAAGGAATAAAAAAACATGGCCACCAAGGAAAACAGCATTTGCAATTAGTATTTCTAGAAATGTAAGTAATACATCTGGTTTAGTTTCGAAAGATTTGTTGGTGTTCGAACACACTACTTAAAGCAAATACGATAACTAAAAATAAATTGTTGAAAAATTTTGAAATTTTTTTATTTTTAGGGACGTTTTTTTTTAAACTAAACCACAATGCATCATGGCATCATGTATGAATTTGTGATAAAATTATGGAATCACTTGTCACCAAAGTTGGCCTTTCTTTGGCTTTAAATACATTCCAAGGAAAAATATATTTTAACTTCAAGCATAATCGCAAACAATTAGGTATGTCTCAATAATATTAAAACAGTGTTATCATTTATATTAAAAACTTCCTGCTTATATATTCTGTATTGTGCTTACAGGGTTTGGAAAATATGCTGGCCCAATGACTCAGATGAAATAACCACCAGTATTAAACTCAGTTGACCCGAAGGATCAATCACAACACTCGCAAAATAATGCATTCCACTAGTCCTAGTGTACTATTCAAATATTTTGCTTGCCATTTCATTAAAATGGAATGATGTAACAGATCAAAACAAAAAGCCCGAAGGACATTATTTGAGAAGTTTTTGCTCCAATGTTAGGATTTCATGTCCTACTACTAGGTATGTTCTTCTTAATAGACGAATAAAAAAATGTTTTGGTTCCTATAACATGCTTTTCAAAAAATAAAGTCGGTTTTTTATTTTCATTTTTTTTATATAGTTTTTCTTTATTAACAACTGCGTTTTTTTTTTGTTCTTGCAAACAAGAACTGTTTTGCAGATATAAATGTCATATAAAATCAGGTTTAAAGTTGTTTCGAAGTTTAGCAAAGTTCAAGTTCTTTGATTCATTCAAAGCATTGCATGATTTTACAACATTTTTTTTTGAACATGACCAAAAAAGTCTAGGCTCGGCCAGTGTAAAGACAGGGTAGGTTGGGATTATAGGAACCACACAATCTTTTTTCTCGGCCTAATACTAGTAGACAAATTATCAATTTTGACATTGTTTCTACCGTGGCATTTAATGAAATTAAATCATACATACCTGTTATCCTGCAAGACAAGATTTATTTCATTACCATGTATCACTCTGGTATCATTCAACATATATTTCTGTACTACATTATTTGCTTTTTCCACGTCCTCTTCAATAATCCATTTCAGAGCCACTCTATAGCTCGCTATTAAGTTTTCAAAATGAATGAGACCAGCGCGACCAAGTCCAAATAAGGCTACATTGACTCTTCCGATAAACTGTGACATCTGAAACAAAGTTGACCAATAGTGTTTGTCACTATTAGAAGATTTTACTACAAACAGAATTTGATTACAAACAGCGCCACCTAGAGTCACATCTGAATCAGTATTTAATGAATG